GCTGGACTCTCTCCAGCAGCTCCACATCCCTCTTGTACTGTGGAGCGCAGAACTGGACACAATACTCCAGATGTGGCCTCACTAGGGAGTGGGTAGTGAGCTCTGCTCCACATGGAGCAACTAGCTGGCAGGCTATGGGTTATCAACAGTTACCCTGACACTTGGAACTGTGTGTATAGTTCTTAAAACTGCTTTGTGTGGCCCTGAGAAAATTTCCTTTTCCTCAATAACCCATCTGCAAAGATTCATTCAGTCTCTGTTGAATTGCAGCATTTCCCAAAGGTTGGTGAGACCCCCTGAATCTTATGTTATGTATTGCTCACTGAGCTTGCTAAAGGGATGCTATGGATAGAAAGGCCCTGAAGCTGGAGAAAAGGCAAATGACAAAGGGAAGTTAGTTAATCACTAGCACAGAGCGTACAGTAATGATGCCCAGCAGCCAGTGACCCCACAACAATTTCCTCCCAGTTAAGGGAGGAGGGCCTTAATGCACCTCTTTGGTATGTCAGAGGCTGCAACACCCTTTGATTTAGTATTGCTCTTACTGCTGGTCAAAGCTGCAGAAAAGGAAGTGAAAGCTTTGCATGAGCGCGGAACAGAAGGGTCGCATCAAAGGGGAAACTTCAGAACAAACTCTCAGTTAAAATTAAGAGTTGTGGCTAAGCTTTTCCAGGAGAAGAGTGATGAGGAAGATCCATCTCCCCATGGGCACTGCAGGTGCAGCACAGCTCTGCATGCACTGACTGCACATGCAGTTTCCTGGTAGTTCAGATACCTGTTAGCTGTAAAGCAAGATTTTGATTAGTCCATCTCTCCATGAGCTGTTGCCAAGGCTGTCTTGTCTGTTCCACAGAAAGATGATTCCAGAGATCAGGACAACTCCTGTGTTTTGGCCTTCTTAATAACAGCACAGGCTGTTAATTTAATTTAATAAAACTAATTTAACAGAGAAAAGGGCTGGAGACAGCATCATCAGAACAGTCAGGAGGCCTTCCCTCCTCTGATGGCTCATACGAGGTGTCTGGTACGGAGATGTCTGCACCAAGCACTGGGAATGCAGAAATACTGCATTTTAAGCCTCTGTATTAGGCAGACTCTCTTCCAGATCTCCTAGCACTGTGATCTCATTTGGAGTGCTATTTCTTTCATTACAGTGGCACTGCAGGGTCTCCAAATTTCCTTATTTCTCTTTCCTTCCGCAGAATGGTCTACCTTCAGAAAAAAATCCTTATGTCTTTAATGGTGATTTTGTTGACAGAGGGAACCATTCTATGGAAATACTTATAATCCTGTTTGCATTTCTTCTTATCTACCCCAATGATTTACACTTGAACAGAGGAAACCATGAAGACTACGTCATGAACGTGAGGTAGATTTTTCTGGTTGGGTTGGGGAGGGGAGGGATTTGTTGTTTCATTGGAAATGTTGGAGTCTTTGAATGCAGCCTTAACTACTGTGCCACAGATTTGATCCCTACAACAGAAACAGGGTTTTCCTGGGCATTCTGGGGTATTTCAGCATTTTTAATGGGGGGTAAAGAACATTCTCCTCACACACAAGCCCTTCGATACAGCTCATTTCTTGTCTCTCGCTCTAAGAATCCATTGCAGTCAATGCACCAAGAGAAAGCCCAAGTAATAACCCTGGCGGGGGGACATGTTGCTGGACTATATTTTTGTTAAATCATTGGCTTATTCCACAGCATGGCAAGAGACATAAGAGTACACTAAAATGGAGCTAGGAAACCAAGAGTTAACATTCCATTTTTCCTAGGTATCTCTTTGCCCTCCCTTTTGCCTGTGATCTCATTTCCCAGGCACAGTGGGTAGGTAGACGTCCTAGCTCCCTTATCAGGCGGGTATAGCGGCTCGGGGGACCTTCTGCTCCGTTTCAGACCAGCCATGTCCCCGCGTTCGAACTTGGCAGCACTGCCAAAGGGAGATCACAGCCAGCGTCTCTGCCTCATGAAAGGGCAACTCCCAGGCAAAATCATCTTCCCAACGGGAGAAGAACCCAGCAATCTCAGTCCCTGCAATCCTAAGCTCCTGCAGTAAGCTGGACGAGCCAGGTGCCTGGCTCCCAGGGCACTCCTTGCTCTCCCTTGGTGCATGCACGTGGGGTGTTTTGCAGCTTCAACACAGACACGAACCTGGGTTAGCGGCCCAGGTTCAAATCCTCTTGATGATCCATGTATGAGAACCGTTTTTCACATGCTACTTTCTTTTTGTCCTGGGGAAAAAAAGGCAGTAAAATTCCCCTTAAAAACATTAGGTGAGACTGTGATGATAGATGGCAAGGAACAGGTGTTACAGGCTACAGCTTTTTGCTACATGTTTTGGTTGGCAGTATTGCACACGAGTGGATTTGAAGGCTGAGAAGCAGGGCCTTGTGAAAATGCCCCTCACAGCAAGACTATATTGGTGTTAAAAGAATGAAGAGGCAAAATTCTGGTTCCTTTTGGGGAACCAGACATTATAAATGATATTGTCTAATAAACATAAGTGATTTAGGATGAAAACCCTAGGGAACTGGGATTTTTGGTGGGGAAAAAAATCCCAATCCCCACATCCATGAGATTCCTTTGAAAATTCTGTCTGGTGTCTAGAAGGTAAACTCTTTCATTTAGATGAGAATTAGGCCATTCTTATAAATTCTCGTCTGGATTCTCTTCCTGATCCATTGTATGCACAAGAAATCAGTTTAACTCTGTTCTTAAGTCTTAAGCCAGAGCAGAAGAAGGTTGAAACTGAGGTGAGGCAGAAATGGAGGGACAAAAGGAGGGATAGAAAATTTTGGGCAATCACTGTAGCGCAGAAAGAGATGCAGATGGGGTATAATGGCAGATGGGGTATAATGGCTCATGATGCTTTCCTGTTTTCAGATACGGCTTCACAAGAGAAGTTTTGAGGAAGTATAGGGTAAGATTCCTCCTCTGTCCTCTTTCTTTTCTTCTCAGCATTGCACATATAACAATGAAACGTGTCTAAGCAAGGGAAATTCCTGACGGTTTATATAGGTGTAGCGCAGGGTTATTTTAGGAAGGTAGTTAAAAGTATCTTGAATTTTCAGTGGAACAGCTGACAACACAGCTACAATGTTAGCCTTCAATGCTCAGAAATCTATGTGATAATGTAAAAACCATGCATAAGGACACTCAGGAGCACGGGAGAAGATGAAAAAGGAAATGAAATGTGCTAGGTGCAATCAAGCAGTTCTTAAAGGAAACTTCAGATCATGTTTGTCAATGTTGCAGTTCTGGGTGCTTCACATATCAGTGGAACTATTCAGACAGCTACAAGCACATTGAAAAAACCTTGAACTTAGAAGCAACAGGACCTACCAAAAATAGGATCTGATTTTAAAAAGTTCGTTTTACAGGTCCATGGGAAAGTAATTCTGTATCTTTTGGAAGATGTCTTTAGCTGGCTTCCCCTTGCCACTGTAGTTGATAGCAAAGTTCTCATCCTACATGGAGGCATTTCAGACACCACCGATTTGGATTTCCTGAATTTATTTGAGAGAAGCAAGGTAAGAGATCACATTCATGTGGGGTTGCTTCTGTTTTCTTTAAAGAATTTAGCAGTATAATTCTGCGATGTTTACATTAGGAGAGGAAATGGATCCGAAGTAGAACAAGGAGGGAAAGAAGAGTTGTTTTTCTTCAGGAACAGTTTTTAGAAAGCAAGGATTCATTAGCTGTTGGGAGGCAAATCCTTGGCTGCTGCAAGATAAAGTGGGTCTATTGACTTAAAAAATAGTCGCAACTCTGCAGACACCTCCTTCCCACAGTGATGACACATTAGTGAGAGTAGGAAAGCTCCTGGATGCTCAGGCATTTCTGGGCAGCCCCGAGGCCGGTCCCGCCAGCCCTCCCGAGCTCTGCCGTGTGCCAGGGCTGCGCTCCTGCCGCCCGCTCCGCGCGGGAAGGCGCTCCGCTCCGCTCACCCCGCCGGCTGCGAGCGCTTCCCAGCGGGATCAGCGTGCTGGATGCAGCCCTGAGAAAGCAGAGGCCGCTGCTTTCCAGCAGTTTGGAAGATCAGTGCAGGCTGTCTGGAGTGAGGAGCAAGCAGAGTTCTTTCAGACTAGTGGAAAATGGTGTGGGTGATTCGGTCCTGAAGGTTTGGACAACTAAACTGACCTGTCTGCTTGTGAGTGGGGCACTTGGGTTCTTCATAAACAGTGGAGAACCAAGAAATGCAGTGGTGATCCAGGTGGTCTTAGCATTGCCCAAACAGTTGGGCGATGGCCAGTGCTGCTGATGGGGGCACTCGGTAGCCTGGGGTTGTCCTCTGTGGCCTCCACTCTGGTCTCCTTCAGAGGTCTCTGCCAGAGGTTTCCTGTAGGTCCAGTTCGTATCTGCCCACCTCATGCTAATGTCTCAGGTATGATAGAGCAGCTCACATTGCGTGCGCACACACACACACACACACACACAAAACAGTCCAAAAACCAAAAAGAGTTATCATTAGAAAATATCAAAAGAGAAAAGTGAAAACAAATACTCCTGAAGAAGAGTCTGTATTAATGGGTATTCACAGAGCCATAGCACCCAGCCCCAGGAGAGCAAATATCCATCCATACTGAAGATGGTTGAGTTTATTTAACAATAAGGGGCCTGAGGCAAATCTCCATGAAATTCACTGTTATCCTGCTAGTAGTCCATTAATTTCAGCTGAATTAACCTAGCAGGTTACTCCTGGGTCAGAGCAGTGACTGTACTTTGATCGTCAGTGTGACATGCAGGGATATTTCAGCTTCCAGTGAAGCTGGGCGCTAGCCCATCTGCTTGTGGTTGACCGTGCCGTGGAGTGATGCCTGTGTCTTGCTGAGAGCACGCGAGCAGTCCTGAAGAGGCTGATCACGTATTGCTCACATCACATATTTACAATACATTTGTAAAGCAAAATTGCTCCAAGGGCTAAACACCGCAACTTCCACCCAACCTGTGAGCTCAGAGCATTATAGGAGTTAAATAGTGAGTAGAATTAAATCCTGAGTACAAGCAAGGGCAGCTGATGTGCTCTTCACCTGACTTCTCTGCATCACCGTTATGCTCTCATTCATATTCAATATTTTGTTTTTTAAGGTGAGATCTTTGATGCGGCCACCCAAGTCCATTATGGACATGAGGCTGCAAGTAAAGGAGAAGGCTCCCAGCAGTGCTCACCATAAGCACAGCGCCCGCCAGGGCTCTTCAGACAAGAGGAAAGACCAGTCCTCGCCCGGGGCCGACTCCTCCGGCGCCGCCGCTCGGGACGCCCCGCGAAGCCCAGGCCTCCGCGCGGAGGCAGCGGAGCCGCAGGAAGACTCGTCTGGAGATCCCACCCCGAAGGAGTGGCAGCAGGTGGGTGACACCAAGGGCAGGTGGGGGCAGCACATCACGAGGGCTGGCACAAGTGGCGCACGGACACGTGCAAACGGCGGGTGCCCCGTGCAGAGGGGGTGAGCCTGAGCCAGCCTCTGTCCCTCTTTATAAGAAACCCGTCATTCTCAGCAGGATGCTAGCCAGCCTGCAAGTATTTGGATGATTTTTGTAGACCTAATGCTAATAAGGACATAATAAGGGCATATGAATTTTTTTTTTATGCCTTCCAAGTACACGCAATTTAAGTTTTTCTTAGCTAATAGGATAGGAGGAAAAAAATGCTCAGCATGAGATGTGTTGGCATGCCCTCGTGTGGCTGCATCTCTTGGTACATAGGTAGCTGTCAGTTGAAATAGGCCAGACTTTTGGCAGCTGAATGCTGATGATATCCTACAAAATTTAGGTCCTGAGACGTATAGGCAGATTGTTCAGAGATGGAAGTCTTTGTCCTCTTGGTGTTATTTCCTCTTGAATATGAGAGGCAAAACCAAGCTCTTACCATGCTGTAATTTAATAAATTGCAACGATTCTGAAAGCTTAATTTACGCAGCAATTTAGAAAGTGAGAATTTTGTGTGCAAGTTCTGAGCTTCTCTTCAGACAGCCGCTTTAAGAGGTAGTCATCGTGTTTTGCTTCTTGAGAAGCAAACCTCTCTCTGAAAATGCAATTTCCCAAGATATGCATCTGACCTAGAAACTAATGTAGTGGGCACAAGCAAGCTCCCACATCTGGCACTCCCCCAGGTAGCCAAGTTTCCACTGAGCCCTGCTTGCAAATGTGAAACAAAAGTGCATTTGGCCTCAGCTTTGCTGCTGACCAGAGTTATTAGGTTAACTGTCATTAAACCCTGCCAGATGTCTGAAACCTGCTGATGGCAAAAGCTAACTTTGAAACAAAAGATCCCCAAAGACAAGGAAATCAAAGGCAAATATTGTCATGTTTAGAGCAGCCATTCCCATAGCTGTGGGAGGAAACCGACGCAGTTATCACATGCTGGGAAATAGGAAATGGCTCTTGCACAAACAAGCACCACCAGCTTTTGAAGTAGCTGTCCTGTGTACCTTTCCTCATGCATAGAAATCTTGGTGCATGGAAAAAGGAGGTGCATTTCTGAAACTATAGTTTGCATAAAGAAGTTATTGCAAAATTTAGATAGTGTTTCTTAAAAAATATAAGTAAAACAAAAGTATCAGGCCAAAAAAATGTACTGCTGAGGAGGCAGGTATTGGAGGGATAAAACGGGAGACCTACTCGTTAGCCACGTTTCTCCCTGCCCTTTGGGCTGGTTGCTGTAGGCAGCATTTTGCTGGATGTCCTCACCTGCTCGCGTGCGCTCTTGCACAGACCCTTGATATCCTCTGGAGCGACCCGAGGAACCAGAGGGGCTGCATCCCAAACAAGCTGCGCGGCGGTGGCTGCTACTTTGGCCCTGACATCACTGCCAAGCTATTTGAAAGGTACAACCTGAAGCTGCTCATCAGGTCTCACGAGTGTAAGCAGGACGGTTACGAGATCGTTCACGGCGGCAAGGTGAGGGGCTCGCGCGCGGCCACACACTGGCTGGGCAAGTGAAGTGGGGAAAACAGGAGCAACCCCCTTAAAATGGGTTTGGGGGAATTGTGCCCTATAGGGGCAGCAGAACATGCTGTGGCATTCTGAAAACAAATGGCTTTACCAGCCCAGGGAGCAGGGATGCATTTCTTAACTCAGGGAAAACAGATAAACACAAAGAAAATCCCTGAGGATGCATGTGTGAATGCAGTCCTATGGATCGGTGGGCCTAGAAGCCTCCATTTCACTGAGCTGCTTCTCCTCCGGGCTCTCCTTCTGACGAGGTGCAGCAGGAGGCTGCCAAGGAGCCTGACAACCAGGCCTATCTGAGGGGGAGGTTTCCACTCAACAGCGTGTTGTCCCCTGCTGTCTAAAAAGCGAAGCCTTCCTGCCGGTCCAGAGAGGCCTCAGATCTGATAACGGCAACATTGCTTGTCATATGCACTTTGTATATGCATTTTGTAACCTGCACATTCTTCTAAGATGAGTTTTGGAAATCAGTCCCCCAAAGAGTTGTTTTAGCCAATCCCGTTCTGTTTTGTTTTTGTTTTTTTTTCCTTTCCTGTAATCAGGTTATCACTATTTTTTCTGCCTCTAACTATTACGAAGATGGGAGCAACCGGGGAGCGTACATCAAACTGAATCCTGATCTGAGCCCTCGCTTCATCCAGTACCAAGTCAGTCGGAACACCTGCAGACAGAATCTGCAGGAGAGGTGAGGGTGCATACTGTCCTTACTGTCCTTATTGTCCTTGCAGGTGCCCTGAAGGAGTAAGTACGCAGAATACAAGAGTACCCACCACAAACATTAATTGCAATTGAATAGGCACCGATTTTTGTCTATTTTCCAATATAGCACAGTAGATAAAATGTGTTCTGAGAGCATGAACTTGGTTTCCTGAGAAATTCCCCGAGGTAGTTTAAAGGGATAAGCTGCTATAACCACCAATTGTTGCAGACTCTTAAGGCACCCGTTTCGGTCTGTCAGGTCTGCTACCTTATGGCTGCAGCATTAATCCAGAGAAATCCTGTTATGAAGCGAGTCCAAAAAGTTTAGCTTTACAGCTTTGCCATGACTGGCACTGTGGCCAGATTTACTAAAGCAAAGCAGCTTAGAATTACCTGCATAAACTTGATTAACTCATAAATCCAGATTATTCTGCTAGAGTTTTTTTTTTTTTTTTCTTCCCCCCTGTTTTGTCTTTTTGGATGATTCTGGAGAGAGAGGGCATGTCAAAAGATATCAGAATGTGATAATGAAAGAAAGAACTGCTGGGGGACTCAAATCCTTTAACAATCCCCTTTGCATATTCTCCTCCTAGGATAAACACGGTCGAAGAGGCTGCCATAAAAGCCTTGCGGGAGAAGATCTACGCAAACAAGACTGAGCTCATGGAGGCTTTTATAAACAAAGATCTCACTGGCTCAGGTAATGCCCTCTGTGCCCAGTGCCAACACGTTCCCCCCTGTCCATGCGGGAGGAGATGGATGTGAGTGGGCAAATAGAGCAGCTTTGTGCTGGCCTCTGGGCAGGGAATTTGGACAAGCAAATGTGGTTCCAAAAGCTCAAGCTGCTGCTGCCTTCATGTGGGAGCCCCTTCAGTCAGCCTGGGGGCTCTGGTGAAGGGGACATGGCCCCTTCTGAGCCTGGGAAATACTCAGGTTGACTGGCTGTGGCACGTGCTTACCCAGCAGGTGAGGAAAATTCAGTGATAAAGTGACATATCATCCTCTTAAGTAAGAGCAAAGTGTTGATAACAAGGCATAAATATGACCTTTCTTCGTGGCGGCATCTCACCTGGCAGGGTTATATCACCCATGCCCCTAAAGTGGGCACTCACTTTCTTCATTTGGCAGCTAAACAACGATCAATATATTTTTGTCTTGTTGGATTTCCAGCCCAGCCTGTCTCTCTAGCTGCAGCACACTGCAAATCTGTAATACTTATTATGGATAGCATTTGTTTTCTCAAAATATATTAAACCACGTGGGAACATAGTTATAGAACCACAAAGTTGTTGGAAGGGACCTCTGGAGAGTACCTGGTCCAACCCCACCGCTCACCGTTAAGAGTGTATGTTTTGGAATTGTTCTTAAACCAGCTGAAGAAAGGCTGATAATGCTGCGGGCTGTGTCACCTACCCCGTGTAACCATGATCTGCCCCTTCTGGCAGGGAAGCTCTCTGTCAGCGACTGGGCAGAGGCCATGGAGTCCGTCCTGCAGCTGGAGCTGCCCTGGCGGACGCTGCGCCCCCAGCTAGCGCGGAGCAGCGCCGACGGACGCATCGAGTACACGTCGTGCTTTTATGATTTGAAAATAGAAAAACCCATAGAGGAGGTAAGGAGGAAAATACCGGAAAGGCCTCCTTGAGAATACTGGGGGAACAGCAGCTGGTGCCGCTTGGTCTGACCCATTAGCTAGAGACCTACATCTGAGCTAGTTGCCTGGCTTCCTTTTAGAGGTAGTGAGGGAGATGAGCACAGCCCCTGCTAAGGCAGAGGCTCAGAACAGGCTGGATGATTCACATGCTAGTTTTGCTTCTTTCTGTTAGCTCTAAAGTGAGTCAGACACCGTAGCCCAGGCAATGTGACATCCTGCCCAGAGCCCCTCACTCTTCCGAGAGGAAGTGACTGGAGCACCTGCACAAGAGCCACATCTGGAGAAGGGCCATTACACATTTAATGGTAGCAAGAGGTCTCTTCTACAGAGCCCACGTTTTGCAGAGCGAGTACCTAGAGGGTTGTGTGTAGCTGCCTCCAACCTTCTAAAGAGCAGCGGGCCTGGAGCACGTGGGTATGGTGAGCGCGTTCTGCACGCGTACGGCACGCAGCAGCTGCCCCGGCCCGTCCGCGTTTCAGCAACGCATCCCGGCGGCTGGGAGCTGCAGAGGGCTCCTGGCACCCCCGCCGCAGCGCTGCGACGGAGGCAGATTGCAGCCAGTTACTTGTTGAGGGCAAGGCCCAAAGTATCACTCCTGGGAACACATTTTTAGAAGGTTTAACAGCGCCAGCTCTGGCGGGGAGGGATGTAGTGTTTGCTCAAGTGACTCTGCCTAAGGTCTGAGCGGGTTCCTGTATGATTTCAATAGCAGGTTCAGCCATCGTTGGTGGAAACTGTGTGTAAATACAGAAAGGATCTGGAGATGATCTTTAACTTCATTGATAAGGATCAGTCAGGTAGGTCCAGCTTCCTTTGTAGTACCAACTCCTGGAAAATGATACTAGTTATCAGTGCCCACTGTGTTTCCTCCTTAAGGCTTCTAAATATAGAGAAATAAGAGATGATGTTTTTCTAGTTTAATGAGGACTAATTTAAGCCCCCAAGCTGTACCCACATAAGGGACAGTGCACAGAATCCAACAGAAGGAAAAAGTTTGCACATAACCTGTCTCCAAGACTGCCTCCCATCCCCTCGCACTTGAGGTACTTGCTGCCTTCTTAATTCTGAAGGGGAAAGCACCAACCCCTGCTTGAAGTAAAACAACGTCGCCTCAATTATGGAGTGGCAAAACCTGCTCAAAGGCATGAGGGTGGGTAACTTCCTTGCAGTGTGGGAATGTGCACGCAGCTACGTGGGAATGGGAGAGAGCATTGGAAAATGCAGTGTGTCCCCTCCTGTGTCCCCTCCAGGGCTGATTTCTCTTGAGGAATTCCACCACACCTGGAAACTCTTCTGTGCTCACGTGGGGGTCGAAACGGACGACGAAGCCATTGACAAGCTGGCCAACACCATTGACTACAACAAAGATGGCTACATTGACTTCAGTGAATTTTTAGGGGCCTTTCATGTGGTTCATAGACTAGATAGAAGGGTGAGTGAATGAAGGAACAGAACATCTTGTGAGTTCCTGCTGGAAGCTCAACTTGCCTTTCAGCCATTGGGCATGGGGCACTTACTTAGGAAGCCCCTTTCCAGACTGGCAAACGACGACTGGGCTGCGGGATTGGGTAAGCTTGATAAATACATGGGCTAGAACCAACAAAAGCATCGTGCTCACTGTGTAAGCCTTTATTTAGTCCCTTCTGTGTGACACAGAGCTGCTAGTAACGGCACAGGTGAGACTGATAAATAGCATTACTTACAGCATCCCTGCCACAGCTGCCTGGTACAGTTTATCCTCACCCTGGGTGATGGCTTGCCCTATGATCTGCTTTGGGAACACTGCCAACACAGCACCTAGAACGTAGCAGGAGAGAAATCCTGGTATGTTTTCCTCAGCAGCCCTTAGAATTCAGTGTGGAACTGTACTGGTTACCATAAGGAACATGCCAGCCTCCCCTGGACTAATAACATGGGATTCTAACACAACTTTAGCAGTCTTCCATGGACTATCCAATCTAGGAGGGGAAAAAAACAGGGAATTAAAAACAGCTAGTTATAACATATAGTTCTGCATTTAACCTTTCTCTTTGCATGGACCTGAACAGTTCAGGTCACTACCCATCCTTTCTGAAGTTTACAAATCTGACGGTTACTATTTTAAAAGCGTTTACAGTTGGTTACTCGCCTACCTTTGTGGGAGTTTTGGCTCTAACCCCTGGTCTTAATGCAGGCTAATTCCATAGCATGTTATCTTAACACGCCAGAAAACAAAATAAAGCTTTAGCTTTCACAATAACCATTAAAAAGGCAGTGTCTTTGTGCCTGTATTTTAGGATCCTACATATGTTACAGTAAAACACTGTTTTGTTTTTCCCCCCTGGAATGTGAACTGGGTTTTGTCCAAACGAAGAAATGAGCAAGAACACAAAAGTAAACAGATTTCAGTACTATTGACTGTAAAGGTTTCTGCATAAAAAGCATAAATCCTTTGATGGTATCAAGCACAGTAGATTGCTGTACACTGAACTGTAAGGGCCGACCCGCTCTGCTCTTGAGGGAGACCTGGCCCTGCTTGTGTACACGGCTCCCAAACCAACACCACGCTTCAGATACAGTGAATAGCAGGTCCTTTTGGGTGGGAAATGTCCCTCTTAATGACACGTGAACAGCGTTAAGTAGCTGTTTTGTACTGAAGAATAACACAGTTTTACAAGTACAAGAAAGGCACCTTTACCACTTTGTCATCACAGACTGTAATAGCAGCCCATGCTGAAGGGGCCGCACTCTTATTCTTTTTATTTGAATCAATTATACTTTTTCCAGTACTCTTCTGGAGGAACGAACACACATGCACTTACTTCTACTGGAAGGAAAGAGAAAAAAAACTTCTTTATATGATACGCGCAAACATACATCTTACAGCAAAATTTCAACAACGCTGGTACCGTTAAATGAATATCTATAGCATGCATTCATTCCCATCTGTGCCCCGTGAGGACAGTCCCCACCTTACTCCAGTGGGGCCACTATGAGGAAGTCGCTCCAGCTCTGGGTGCCCTGGGTGGTGCTTGCCGAGATCTCGCTGCCCTGCTCCTCAGCAGCAACAACGTGGAACATGACAGCGCAACTCGGAGACCTTTCTCACAGCCCCCCCCAATTCCCCGCAAAAGTGAGGGGCAAAACGGGGGTGTGCAGCAAGATGCGGGAGCTCAGGCACTGCCTGGATGCCCTCCTGTTGGACGGCCCCTGCTCCCAACGTGCTCCTGAAGCTGCTGTCAAATTAATTTGAAGGACAGCTTGAGGGAGCGCCCCCATGACCGGGGATGCTAAAGGTGAGGTCATAGTCCAGGGCTTTACTCAGCACACACCAAAAAGGGGCAGAGTAGGGAATCAGAGGGCCTGAGTCAAACAGGCACAGAAAAGGGGAGGAAAAAACCTTGGCAGCCATTATAGGAACCCAAGAGCCTATAATGGGGGACGGTAAGGATGTGTAACGTACTGCCAGCAGTAAACATCACCTAGAACTAAAACTGGATTTAGGAGAACCCACTACATGCTCCTTAAACCAAACTCTGCTTCCCATTGAAGCTTTTCTTCTGCAGCCCTCCAAAAATTATTTTTACCCTGCTATTTATTCAGTGGCTACTTGCTTTAACAGCCAGCAGTGCCCCTTTGCACAGGGACAGCGTGGGGCTGCAGCTGAACACGCCAGCATCTCTGCTGGAGGCAGAGCCCCTGCTTTCATGCCCCACCTCCTGTGTTGGGAGACATCTCTTTCCCCTCTCCCCCTTCCTGGGCAACACCACTCCAAATTCTAGCCCCAAGGATGTTGCTGATGTTGTTTTTGGATTATATCCGTCTTCCTGCTTCACTGAAGCCTCTGTCTGCTGTGAGGGGAGTTGGCAGCACAACTCCTACCAACCAGTCTCAGGTGGATCTGTTTTAATTCCACCACTGCCCTTACTTCGGATGCTTGATGCATCCGTTTACCCTTGTCTTGCTGCTTTCTGCAAATGAGTTTCCAGGGCTTGGAGCCTTGTCAGCCACTCGTCGCTGCCCTGGGAAGCCTGGCAGCTCCATCAAGGCACTGCCACGTAGCTCTCCTTGCACCCCCTTGCCTTAACGGGGGCCGTGCACAGCAGCCCTGCGGCTGGCCGTGTTTCCCACATGCTTAATAAACGCACGTGAATCCTCAACATCCCAACAGGCCCACAGTTTTTGTGCTGGTGAACACAGTATGTGTCTCACTGAGAACATAACTGCATCCAGTGTCTTTGGATCCAGTGCTTACATCCAGAGAAACCAGCGTGGTGCTAGGTTCTTGGAGCAACAAATGCTCACGTTCTCCGGGAATCTGAACGGTTCCCCCAGCCCCAGCCCTGCCCTCGGGGTCTCCGTGTTGTGACAGCAGCGGCAGCTCCGCAGCAGATGGCAGCAGAGGCGGGAGGGTCTCTCCGACGCCCTCCCGTGAGGCGGCAGCGCAGGCCCTGCTGCCCTTCACAGGCCTCCCCCGCTCGCCCCAACCCACTCTGACCCCTCTGCGCCCGGAGCAGCCGTGCCCAGGCCCCTAATGCTACCAAGGCAGCCTACCGTTTACATGGCCACAGAGCTGCTTCCCTGCAGGACATCGCCCCGTTTCTCCTTAAGGTGAAGAAGGATCCTCTTGCCCTGATGCCGGCTGGATTCCCGGCTTAGGGAGGACTCTGCATCTCCTGTGGGATGAACGTGTGCAGGCTGCACACACGAGTACAGGGCAGCAGCGAGGACGAGCCTGGCTGCTTCTGCAGGGAGACTTCTGACCAGAGAGCCAGCCCACAGTGCTTGGGACAGGGCATCCCCCAGGGAAGACACAAAACAAACAAAACCAGATGCATAAAAATCATCAAAGTGCCCCAGACATTCACCATGTGCTGGAAGGTGGCAGCTACACTGCTCTTAACTCAGGCTGTCTGCAAGGGAAGGGCTCTGGAATTGGAAAAGAAGTTAGAGGGGAGGAGGTTTATCCTTCCCCCTTCAGTGAGGAGAATCCCAGGCAGGAAATTGTCTGGCACCCTGCAGAAGCTGCAGCCTGAGGTTTTGCCTCCAAAGCTTGGAGGGTGCAGGGAAAGAAGCCACTTTGTTCATGTTAAGAGAGAGATGCAGTTTCCTTAGAGAGGCTATCATCTCAAATTGGTGGATACTGCAAGACATTTGTCTCCACTGGTGCTATCCATGCACTAACTAGGTGCAAATGACATGAGAACCAGGATAAACCTGTATTAAACTATTACCTGTTTATTTCAAGTTATTCCTATTTCTTTAATTTAAATGTCCCTGGTCTATTTGCACTGTGCATTAGTGATTCACAATGATGTAAATTTACAGATAGCAGGAGAAAAACTAATGAATTCCATTACTTTCCTTATCTGAGAGGCTTTATGCCTGAGATACAGCTCCCTCACTTCATTATGCCTTTTGATCTCCACAGTCTCATCTATTTGCCTGCTGGCAGAGCAGCATAATTCTCGCTAATTTGATATGAATTACACCTATGCACGTTAGGCAGAAGGGGCCTCGTTACGTGTTTATTTCCCATGTGCTCCCTTAGAACTAGGCCGAATTCCACCTCCCCGCCTCGTGCAGGTGAGCGCGGCGTGCGCGACACGCTGGGAACGCTGAGGTAGTGCACGGACAGCGGCCGGGCAAGGGGCTCATCCCAGGGCAAGCGGGAGAGCCCTCCCTCCCAGGGCATCGCCTACTGCATCGTGCAGCCTGTGCTGGGCAGGAAGTCCTGTAAATATGTGATTATGGCTTTTGTTAAGTAAGTCATCGTTCCGTAGGCCCCACTCGGAGCGCTGTCATAGAAGAAGTGGCAAATCCCTGTGGCTATGTCCTTCTCCAAGATGTAATCTGCAGCTCCAAATGTTTTCTGTAAAAACACAAAGAAAGAAGCAGCGAAAAATAGGCATTTATGCTTATTTACCAGGTAAGAACCTCCTCATGACTGCTCTTTATTTGTGCTGAATTCCAAAGGTAATTGTCCCTTTCCTCACTAGAGCCTTCCTCAGGATTACAGGACACACACAACACGGCTTTCCAACACCCCCACGCTGCCCTCACCTGTTCCTGCAGGAAGAGGTCGTTGGCCATGTGCACTATTCGATCCACGTGGATGATGCCCCCGATGCTGTTCACCTCGATGTCGGACAGGAAGGTCAGGACGAGGATGGCTTCCACCAGGAGATGCCGGGACTCGGGCTGCGACCCGCGCTTCAGCACCGACTCCACGTGCACAGCAAACTTGATCTCACACGGGGTCATCTGGCGGGGGGTTGTGGAGATGGAAGGAAAAACTGAAGGAAAAACTGACACATGCCAAAGACTAGCTTGCCGTATCCTCCAAACACTTAAACATATGCTCCTCTTTGCATACAGGAGCAGCCTGCCTGACGTCAACGAGGAGTCTGTGAGGCTTCGCACTTGCAGAAACTTTTCGTGTCACTAGGCCCAGATCCTGCAAACTGTTGTGCAACTTCCCCAAAACTGTTCCAGCCCTACAACCCATCATACACACAGTTTATTTACATGCAGGAACGGTGATGCTTAGCTTGTACATTAACTCTTTGCTTCTAACGCAACAACAACAGTCTCATGCACTCTCTCTTCAAACCATCTTTCTGGCACTGCAGGTTGGTTGCAAAGCCAAAACCGCTTCAGTGATTCAGAAATAACCATCTGCTTAAAATAAACGCTGTTTCACACTGAGCCATAGCTACACTGTTTGCAGAGCAACCTAATTTGCACTGGCAGAGCTGCGTGGATGCTACGTGAAACGCTGCCGCCCTAGGAGGTTTGTGCTTATTTCGTCTGATTCTTTTACGCAGCAAAATTAGATACTGTCTAGGTCTGGCAGACTAAAAATATAAACCTATTTATCTACACAATAGGAATAAAGTTCTCCATTCTGAAAAATAAGGTTGAAATCTGGCAGAAAAATTCTAGCTCTTCTCTTCAGTCATTACCACCCTCTCGGAGAAGAGGGAAACCGGAGAACTGACAGGAAGCCAGGCTTAGGCTCATAAGCACCTTCCTTTCACTCGTGATTACTGTTCATGGGAGTTGCCTGTTATATAGACGTGAATTTAAAATTTGCCAGAATGTCTGAAGACAGAGCGTGAACCCAACAAAGGAAAAAGTGCAAGGAAAGGATATGGATTTAAAGAGTCAATGCTTTGGTTAGAGACAGTCTCCCTTAATTGGTATTTCCTTTTGAAACTGATGCTGCAGCTGCAGCCAGTGAATTTTGGCATTTTAAGAGAAAAGCAGCGAGCCAGCAAGGTCTACTCTTCTCCATCAAAGCAGAGTCTTTCCTCCCTCTGCCTTAAATGATGGTATCAGCTGCCCTTTTCCCTGCTCAGTGTGCCCAGGGCAGGTGTCACTGCCCCAAACCCACACAGAGCAAGAGCTGGACCCTGGCCCCCTCCCGCAGCAGCGGTTACTTCGAATGCTCTTAAAACCCAGGGGCTGCAGCAACAGTCCCGGTGCATCTTACGCTGTGAAATCAAACATTCAACCAGGTGGCTACTAAAGCCATTTCACTGTACTTTACTGTACCTCTCTGGTAGTTGAGGAAGGAAGGACGTATCCATCGATGGACAGACCATGGCACTGGAACAAAACATTTAGACAATAAATAGGATTCTTGCTAGTAAATCCAAGATCTCTCTGCACCAAGCCAGCTTTTCTCCTAGAAATGCTGCTCTTTGAAATGCAGCTACTTTCAGTGAAAAAAAGCAAATGAAAAATAACTCTTAACTTTTTCAGCAAAGGCAAAATACTATTTTTATCAGGCATCCAGTTATTCTGTAACCAGGCAAATGGTATAAATAACCTTACATGGCCCCTTGGCAGTTCCCCGTAGTCCAGCCTAGTTAATGAATGGGAGCAAAGAACTTGGCCAGTCACTACAGCAAAAGGCACACGGAAGCTGAAAGCCAGCAAGGAGAACACTGTGAGAGGATGGAAAAATAAAAAGAAAATGCAAAAACACAAAAGCATGACAACAAACTACCTAACGGAAAAGCTTTATTTCTTATTTTGGCTAAAACAATTTGTTTCAGCGTTTGAGATTCAGGGCACCACAACTCAGGGGTATCAACACGCTGTGGTTCTTGGAAACAGGCTACAAATGGTGGTGGTGGTGGTAGAAATCCCAGCTGGCACACGAGAAAGGGTGCCAAAGAGAAATGGCAAGAGGACAGGCAAAGAAATGGCACGTGTCGCTATCTGAGGTATAAAAATACCAAGAAAATGAGGCCACTTTTACGAATAATCCAAAGAGCTTAAGAACAAAAGATGGAGGACTATTTAAGTAAGTATAATTAATAGCCAAAAACCACTCAGTCCTCCCAGCCAATACAGCAGGTCTGGACAGAAGCAATGCTCCCTACACTGAAAGATCCCGTTAGTAAAACCAGCAGCTAAATACAACCTGTCTGCTGAAATCAAGATGGAGGACTATTTAAGTAAGTATAATTAATAGCCAAAAACCACTCAGTCCTCCCAGCCAATACAGCAGGTCTGGACAGAAGCAATGCTCCCTACACTGAAAGATCCCATTAGTAAAACTAGTGGCTAAATACAACCTGTCTGCTGAAATCAGCACGAGCAGCTTCAACACAAATCATGTTAAAAGCACAATCAGAAGCAGGGTGAGCTGGAGAGGCACATCCTCCCTCCAACTGTGTAGGCACAAACAACTCGGTGCTGCAAGGTGCTGAACGGGGGCTTTCGGCCAGCAAAGCGGAACGGGTGCCCAACGGCTCTGTAAGGAAAGGAAATCCTCCTTCCTGGGGATTTGCTTCAATACCTTTCCATGCCACTGCTCTCCAAGGGGCTGGCAAGGTCTACTGCTCATTTAGAAAAAAAACCCAAAACGATGTTAAAAATGCCGCACAGCTCTGAGGAGCCAGAGGGAGCTCTGAGGACATTTTGGGACAGTAAGCGCGGGTTCCGCCTCCGCTCCTTCCCGCCTTCCTGACTGGCGCCCGCGGGCGGCACCGCGTCGCGCTGCCGCGTTCGACTCGCAGCCACGCAGCAGCTCTGCGCGCACCTTGGGGTGACCCTGCACAGGCTACCTGCTCCCTGCTTTCCTCCGGAGTCTGCTCACCTTCTGCAGGATCTTCCAGACCTTCTCGTAGAAGCCGACGGGAACTCTGTTGATGGCACCATCGAGCCTCCTCCGGCGCAGCCACTGCCAGCCACTGCCCGGGGCGGTTGTGCCAACCGCCATCTCCATCCGAGCCCGTAGGGGAGGTACTGGTGGGAGACGACGGAGTGCTGCCCCTCTGAAAGAAACATGGAACTCTGTAAGCCACGTTTTTTTTTAAGTTTCATTTATATTTATTTATTTTTACAGCCACTAGTGTTTCTCCTGTAGGTGCAAGCCTTCTGTCCCTTCATTAGAGATCTGAAATTTCAGGCATAAAATTATTGAGGCTTCTGGTGTCAAAATATTTTAGTAATTACTTTCAATCTTAAAACTGAAAGCTCAGAAAGAGCAACTGCTCTCTGCCTTAAAAGAAGCTGACTACTGGAGATGACACTCATGGCCGTAAAACCCCATCTTTGCAATCTGAAGCAGTATTGGGTTCACTATTATCCAGAGACCTCCAGTGCCACAGCCCACCATCAAGTAGTTGAACCTGCTACATTGCTCCATCTGCTACAATTGCTTGACCTTCAGAATAACGACATGGTTCTGCACGCAAGACTCTGAGCTTCTACTGAAAGTACAAATAAGAATTCATTCCCCGTGAGGGTGAACTAAGCAAAGAGGTTAAGTTGGAAAACAAGTTTTTAGGCAGGAGAAGCCAAGCAAAGTGTTTAAACCCAAAGCCCTTCCACACAGCGAAGAAAAGGTGCACATTTGCAGATGGAATTTTACCATGGACTTGGAAGCCAACATGCTGCTGGACATAGAGTGGCCCTCACGGAGGAGCTACGAAACAAAAACAGACACCGCCGAGTCAGCCAGGCAGACGAGACGGGACACCACACAAACACGAAAAGCCAAGCCGCACGGAGTCAGCTCAGCTCCTCAGAGGACAGCCCTGACTGCCCCGGCCTCTGGCACTGCTGCACTTCTGCTCACCTCTGATTCCCAGACTCACCATGAGGCCGACCTGATGTGCCAGGAACCGGCTTGGGTGCAGTGAACCCCAAACTTCCCACACCACCTACCCAACTCCAGTGTGTCTCAGCACAGCAGTATAAAACACAGGCAAAACCCTCCTGGTCACTGGGGTTGGGAATAACACACAAGTCTTCCACTTCTGCTCATCAGCGGTTACAACGGCAGTAGCTTCTGTTTGCACCCTCCACGTGGTGGGCAGTGCAGAGCAAATAGCTGCAAGGCAGAGTTTTCCCAGCAACGTGGACGTGCACCCTCAGACCTGGGAGGCTTTCTGGAACTGCCCCTCACACCTTGCCCCATAACTAAACGTTCACTGATCTCACTGGCCACCCAGGAAAATGCATCCTTTTACCTGACTCGAAACAGCTGCAGGACTCGGAGAGCTGCAGGCACTCCTCTTACCAGCTCTTGTACAAACAGATGTTGGCAACAGATGTTGGTGCAAGTACTTGAAATGCTCCTTATATCACTCAGATGGACCTTCTTCCCCCCTAATATGCCACTAAATTAGTATTTAGTGAATTATTCAGCGTGCAGCGGGGCATGGTGGGAAGCAGCATGGATGGAAAGATGGGGGAGAGCAAAGCAGAACGAGTTAACTCCTCTGTTCAACAGAAACGTCTGCCTGATGCCAAAGCAAGAGGAAACGCCTCTCCACCCTCCACACGCTCCAAAGGGCCCGGCCTCACGCCTGCCTCCGCGTTTACTACAAAATAGTGCTGCCACCTAGTGCCACATCCTTACTGCTTCCTCAAATGAAGTCAGACCTGCTCAAACCCAACCACTAGAGTCACGTTGGGGCCTGGAACAGCCCGTGGGGAGCAGCGCTTGCACGGGCCCCGCTGCCCCAGGGCAGGCAGCACCTGGAGCAGAGCCGCTCAGGAGACGGGAACCTCCTCGTGGGCACCGCTGCTCTCCCGTCTCGTCCACGCCACGCACAGAATTACCAACTAACGGTCGGGTCAACATCCGAACGGGCTGTTTTTAAGAAATGCTGCTCCATTCTGAGAGCTTTACAAGAAATCTGTTTCACACAGTTAAAGGAAAACAACACATACGTCGTTGGCTATTTCTAGGAATGTCCTCAGGTGCAATGAACACTGTGTCTTAAGCTCTCAGCGGAGACGGTCTTCTTATTAAAGCGTTCCTATTATATATCACTTAATTCTTATAAATATACTTTGCTCTGATCGTTACCTTTGTGTTTACCTACAACACATAAAATTGCCCATGGAAACCAACTAAACAAATCTAAAGACTCACAAGAAAATCATCAGATTGATTCAAAATACTTGGGGACGTGTTTTGTAGAGTGTCTCTAAACATCCTCAGTCACTGTGTAACTTCCAGTACTGGACACGTTCAAAAAAAATGCTCTAGCAGTAATCATCCCTCCATTCTTGAAGAAAACCAGAAGGAAAGCAGTCTAGTATTTCTTTTCTTCAAATGCATCTTTCCCAAGTGCAGACCATATTAAAGACTCACACAGAGTACAGGAACGAACACTTCAAAGCTTCGCTTTGTAAATCTGACTTTCCTTAGTCAAAGACGATAAAAAAGCAGATTTAAATTTGATGCCATGAATGTATTAGAGGCCACGCACATTCTTTTATATTCAGAATGTGAAACAAGAACAGAAAAGGCAATACATTCCCTCTTCCCTACATTAAGTGATCAGCTTTAAATCAAATGATCTTTAGAAGTTTTTGATTTACCAAGAATCTATGTGGCATTAAAAATGCTCTGCTGAAATTAACATGTACAAATCCTGCACCAAGAAAAAAAAAAGAAAAAAAAAGAAAAATGAATTCTACAAACAGACATGTTTTCTGACAAACTCATTAACGGAAAACCCTCACCTGCTTCATCTCACTCTTCAGTTTAGTAATACCACTTCTTTCTGTTTTGGTTGCTCCAGAATGTCCCATTTCATGAATAGAAATTGCAGGACTAGATGAAGAGGAATCTACAGGTCTCACTAGAAGAAGCAAATGGACATTTTTAGAATTCTAGAGGTAGGTGAGCAGATGAGATGAGGAAAAAAAGAAAATCCCTTTCTCCAGGATGCAATGATCTTGGTGAAAGCACCCATTCAAATCTTATGATGCTTCAATGTTCAAGCTTGTCAGTGCTTCAAAAGTAACTAGGTCAAGTTAAAAGCCTAAATCCACACTTGGGTATTAGGGAGCGATTTTCCAAGACTTTGAGCAACTGTAGCTTCAAATGGCATCAGAGATACACTGAGTCTGTGAGAGCTAGAGATGGAGCCCTGGAGGCAGCTGCAGCCAGGCATACCTGGGAATCACAGGCATGTTCCTTGAAGTCAGGTTAGATGGGCCCTTCCTATGGTTTTCAGTCTGGTCACACAAAACTTTTTTGTTTTCAGTTTGCATTCATATCACTGAAAACTTGATGCAACCAATTTCAATAGAAGGCAGCTTTCATCAAATGTGTGTATTGCCCGTCTTTGCTGTACACTACCTATAACTTTTTTATGTGACTGAAGAGCATTTTGTGCTTAACAAGATAATCTAAACTTGCATTTGCATTGCTTGCTTAACACATACAAGTACTCAAATGGACAACTCACAGCTTCTTTCCACACCAAACTCTTTTCCACTCAGAATATGGTGTAGCAGATTCTTCATATCAAAGGGGCTTAGATTCATCAAACTCTCTGAAGCTTCTTCACCTAGTTAAGGAATAAAAGAAAGAAAGAAAAAAAAAAAAGGAAAATATCTCTATAGATTGAGTAAAAACCGCAAGAATTTTGAATAATCAGGGCTCAAACATTCAAAGATATCTAGGAGCCTAATTCTCACTGACATTAATGACACTGGCTCACTAACTACACATGCATATAATTTCATGACCCAGACATCAAACACTAAAAGCCACAGAATTAAGAAAAAGAATGTGCGTTTGTGTGGGGAGGTATCATTAAATCAAAAAAGAAAATTATTTTCAAGTCTGCAAGCACATGCTGAATGAAGAAGTTAACAAAGGAATTGACCATGTATGAAGTGACCGAGGTGAGGCAGCAGTAACGCCGTGAGCATCGCCTGGGGTGAACGCTCTTACCTGAGCACTTCAGACTGCGAGCCAGCTCCGTGGCCATCACCTGAATGATGAGCCCGATGCGGAGCCGGAGCATCTCTGCAAAAAGGCTCGGCTGAGAGCGGACATACATGGCCAAGTACATGATCATTTCCTGAAAATCCATAAAGGCACCTGTTCAGGTCTGGCATCTCAACCACCAGCCACACAAGCAGTGGCATCATCCTGCTGCAGCTTAAGGAGGCCTTTTGGCACACGCTGCATACCTGCGTCAGGACTGCAATACTGATGTCTTGGCCACTCGCTTCGTAAATAAGATCTATGAGCTCCTCAGGTGGCAATGGGCTGAAAGAAAGCACACCACGCTTAGCAGTAACTCAGGTACTTGCTCTTAACCTCTTCAACGTGCACTGGAACCAAGTCACCCAAGAATGTCCTTGCAGCACAGGACTTTCTGCCTTGGTGCCTGCAAATCCTTCTGAAGGTGAGAAACAGGTTTGAAAACAAGACCTATCAGCAGAAAGCTGGAAGGCAGGCTGCTTCCACAGGGGAGAAGGAGCTCCGACTTACGTGGTGATGGTTCTCTCACGGGGCTCCGGGGGCAGGCCCACTGTCAGCTGCTTGTGGTGTGACAGAAGGTGCGTGCAGGCCTATCCAAGTGACAAAAAACAAGAGATCGTTCTCCGAGTCAGGCAGAAGTGATAGGTTTTAATTCCAGAAAATGAAGAACAATAAAGGACTTCAACTTTTATCATAAGCATTTTCTTTTCAGCTTAAGACAAAAAAGGTGGAACAACACAAATCATTTCTGCGCTCATCCTCCTCAATTCTTTGTTGACACCTTATAAATTTAACATACATAATCTTCTGCAAGCATATCTGCATTGTACTGCAGTATTGCAATCTGCACGTTATCTCATCCGCAATGTTTTGTGGATGGAGAAAGGGTATGCACTTAACACCACACATGGCAACCATCACAAATTGCTCCCCACAGGTAAGACTGTTGGTAAAGAGGTCATTTGACACAGGACAGTTAAAGCTTCAGAGTCGGCCAGGAATGGCCAGGGAGTGTTGCTGGGAAATGTTCAGGATAGATAGGAGATTAAAGCAGCCGAAAATAAACATTTTTGCAATGTTCAAAATCTAACCTATACCGTTACAATTGATCTTTCTTGCTAAGTTTAAATAGTTCCAGACACACTAATGCTGCTGTACATCCATATATACTCACACTACAGACTGTAGGCCCAGGGGAACAAGAACAGTTGGATTATGGCCTTGCAGTCTTTAGCATCATGACATACGGGGTCTCAAAAATGTTTATAGAGAATAGCAGTACACCATCATCAGCAATTCTTTACAATTGATCTTTCCTGCAAAGTTTAAACAGTTCCAGACATGCTAATGCTGCTGTACACTACACACTACAGACTGTAGGCCTAGGGAAACAAGAACAGTCAGATTATGGTCTTGCAGTCTTTAGCATCATGACATACAGGGTCTCAAAAATGTTTATACAGAATAGCAGTACACCATCATCAGCAATAACTACAGTTTTCAAAGCTCATAGTTATGTTTCTGTGAAAATATAGATTAAATGAGGCCTTCACAATCATTTACAGCTCAACACTTTCAGTCCACTCCAGCCTTAGCACAGTATTCAGTACTCATCAAAGGTAGAGATGCTGTGATAAGACTTTAGATCAGAAAAGCACAGAGGTTTACCAAGAAATGCTGCACCATGGATATTGTGAGCTAAGACCAGAAGAGGGCGAACACAGGCCACACTAGAGGTTTTGTCCCTCACGTTGCTAGCTATACTCTGCTTCCAGAAAGGGAACGGAACCAGCATTATTTTTTATTTTTGTCATACCTCAGCCAGGACTTCCACTCTCTTTTTAAGGATACCAGAAATATAACGGATTAAGCCCCACTCCTGATTGAGGCCTGCCTTTCTGTAGAGCTCATTGAGTAGACAGTGAACAGTGACACCGTACTGTCCGTTTAGCTGGGTATCCCAATCAGGACCTCTGCCACAAAAGAGAGACAAAGTGATTTTCATTAGAGAAAACAAGCAGATTTCTAAGGGGTCTTTTATGAAGGAGAGAGAGCACAAGCAGGAAGCTCGCAGCGCTCAGCCACAGCGAGCAGGCTCATTTTGACTGACTCACTCCTTCAGACGACAGACAAGGGCCACGAGGGCCTTCCCCAGAGATCAGTGACACGGGCAAACTCTTGATAACAGGAACTTCCACCCCACCTTGAGCATTCAGCCATAAGCCTAAGACTTCAAAGTGACCACCTTGGCTTTAAAATACAGATGCCTTCCTGGAGGAAGGCTCCCCATTCATTGCTCCTTAAAGGCAGAATTTGGCAATTTCTTCAGAACCACTGAAGACTTCACCCATTTCTCAAATGCCTCCGGGGCATCTTTCTTAGCTGCTGACCAAACTTTCACACTTCTTACATGACTGATAATACAAAAACCTGTGGTTCCTCTCCTAGTTTTGAAATTCACTGCACAATGACAAGAAAGGTGCTTCTTGCTGACAATGTGCTCATGTATTTTAGAATGACCTTTCAGCTCTTGTACAGGGACAGAGTGTCTGGCTGGACAATGCAGTGAAACAGGTCCAGAACAGGAAGGTAACGGTGTTACATTTGGTTACAAAGTGACAAATTTTTCAGGCTCTCATTTGCTCTTTAAGAAAAGCTGTTAAAATATTTTGCTCAGGAAAATGGGTAACAAAAGAGGTGGTGCTCACACGAGAAAAACTAATGCAAAAGAAGAAATTACGAAATAATAAGGACGCCCACTTGCAGTTAGAACACACAGTTCTTAAATCTAGGCTAACTTTCTGCAAGAATCCATCAGTTTTTATCCAGGGATAAAAACAAACAAGAAAACTAAAGAAAAAAAGCTATACAATAAATACACTTTAGATGATGATTCTGGTGGTTTGTATTTGTATTTTGTTCCCATCAAACTTGTTTAATCAACAGCTATTTACTAATCCAGAAGCTTGGGTTAGACCATTCCCAAAAGCTTCAAATTAAGGACCACTGGATTCAGCCAATGGGGCGTTTAAACAGGTGAGGAGAGACAAGTAGTACCAGTTATTAAGATGCCTAGACAAATCTAGTGTTAAGTCAGAAGATGCCTAGATAAAATAACTCTCCAAATACAGGTCTTCTCCACAAATTCACTAACTGCACAAAACATACTTCTCTCCTTGTGTATAAGAGTTCACAAATAAAAGGCACAATTATTAAGTGCCACAAACACATCCAAGACACGTTCTCACTCATGTTTAAGATTTGTGCATTTTACTTGTGATCTTGACAGCCTAAATGTATTAGCAATTGTTGGCCAATCCACTCACTGAAATTTTAACAAGTGTATTCTGTATTCAAGATTGCCTATTTAAACAAGCTACTAGAAATTATTCCCATTAAAGCATGAACTTTAAGCCTCTCCCCCTCACAAACCTGAACCAGCCTGAACAGTTTACCTGAGGCTTTAGCACAAGAATGATCAGACAGTTGTGACCAAACTTGAAGATGTTCAACTTCCTTCTCAGATAACTTACTTCAGTATATGCAAGATATACAAGATATCTGCTTGATCATGGAGTGACGGACATTCCTTCAGCTGTTCAACGAGCTTTCTGCAATCCAAATCACCATGAGCATCTTTAGGTAAGTGCAAAACATTTTCACAAGCCTGATAGCAGAGAAAGATGAAAAACAAACAAACAAAAAAAATCTTGAAGAAAGTAGCGGATCAAACCCCTAATCTATCACTTCCCATGAAAGAATATGAAAGACTTCACAACACAACTCTGCACTTGAAATATGGAGACACCAGGTAGCTCTTGTCAGACCACCACACAGACGAAAACGAGGTTAATCCCAGGAGCGGAAACACCAGAATGCATCTTTGTCTCTAGTTTTTGTTCAACCAACAAAGAAAGCCACTTCTTGATAAAACTACGTATTTTGTAAAAGGAGAAAACCAAATTATTTGCTTATTTTTCCTGTCACATGCTGTTATCTTCAGAGTTAAAAATCAGATATTATTTGTGTTTGCTTGGATTAACAAACATAGTTGTAATCAGTTAGGTCTTTGAAAACTCCCTCTTTGCCCTGTGTATGTAGCATACACATTTCCACCATTTACCTTTGTCTCAAAAGAATGGGGAGTATCAACAAGATTCAGAGACTTCCGGTGTGTGTTCAGAACTTTAGTGGGAAGAGACATAGAAGCAGCTGGAAAGCAAAGCCACCAGAAAATATTTGTTTTAGTAACATGAAAAACGAAACACCAGCTCAAAACAATTCCATAGCTGACAACAGAAAAACTTCTTGGAGTCCAAATACAGGAGGCAATGCTGCTGAGATTCTGTGTATGGAACTCGGGAAACAAGCTCATGCTCACATTTTTGGTCCCACCTTGCAGGCCTGTTCCGAGAATTTTTAAGATCCAAATGTCAAATCTCAGGCACTACATGTTCAGCTGATGCTCCTTACAACAGTGCCTATCTTAGAGGTCTTACAGCCCAAGGACCCAACCTAGCTAGGTATTTCACATATTTTCATGGAGAAAGGTACATAGAGAAAACTGGCTAACTGATGTGGTAACATAACTGAAAGAGTCACGGTAAAGGCAGGCTGATGTTCAGTGAACTTCTCTCGTTTATTTTATCTGAAGATCAGATGATACTGCACATGAAAGATGGGAGAAAAGACCAAGCCAAAGCTTGAAAATTCTTACTGCATTTTATGGGAGGAAAGAGAATATGAAGTCCACTGAAGCTAAGGCAAGCCCTCCCTTAACCAAGGCATTGGATACTACATACCAACATATGTAGTACTGTATGTACTGGGAACTACTGAGGCCCCTAAAATGCACTGACTGAATCTGCAAGTCCTTTAATGCATCTACTAGTATTTTTTACAACAGCGGCCTCCCTCTTTGCTCCATTGGTTCTTTATGATTTAGAGTACATAAATACACTGATACTTACTGCACCACAACTTTACTAAAAGAAAACTTTGTCTGTCTTAACATGATACAAACAAAGGGAAAAAAAAATTACTAACACAGGTACTAGAATTCTAGCGAATTGACAAACCACTTCAGGGACAAATCAATCTATCATCTACTTTGATTAAATATTCAGCTTCATTGCAATTTATTTATATAATCGTCATGCGGTTCTGGGGGAATTCTACAGGAATTCTCATTTATTTACATATATCACATACTTGCCACTACTTTTTTTAAAAAAAACAAAAACAAACAAACAAAAAAAAGAGAATGCCTAGAAGGGGTTTTCTATGGTTATTATCAAAAAAGTATTAAACAGAAATACCTGGGACCTCCAAACCCTTTGCCTTGGCCATTATTGACAGTATCTCTCGTGTGGAATGGTTTGCCCCAAACACAGGATCAGCAGTCTTTGAAGTTGGAGGCAGGTATGACTTCAGTGCTGTACTCTGCAGGACATCATTTATATATCGATCCAGCTCGTCCTGGCTGTCTGGTGTGGCAAATAAAAAAATTATTAAAAATAAACATGCATAAGATTATCATTGCAATCTGTTTCAGACACACTACTCCATTCATGCTGATATGGAAGGACACACAAAAATACAAGAGTATTTTATGGGATTTTTAAGCTGAATAGAAAAAAA